TTCGTTCCAGACACATGATCAGGTCTGGCTTAGAGACAACAAGGCCACTAATACAGATAGAAGTACGCAGGTCAATTCAAAGTAGAGAATACATCATGTCAAAATGAGACATCTTTAATTTTTTCTTTACTATGTTAACAAATCACCAACTTTTCTTTGATAGCAGGAATCTGAAACTCATTCATGCAAAGCAGAGATTCCCAGAAAACATTCTTTCCTCCAAACTTACTCCCTTCTTAGGTGTCAGCAGAACACGTACTGTTCTTGCCTCCAGCAGTCCTGTCTGATCACATCTCCTGTCACTCTCCCTCCCATGTTTTTATCTGGGCACACTAAGGCCCTGAGAGTAGAAAGGAATTACCCACAGTCACTTGGAAAGTCTTGCAGAGCCAGGACTTCTCCTTTTCTCATGGCCTTCTGTTCCAGTGCAGAGACTGTGTTTTTCCATGGGGCTTTGCACAGGTAGGTACCTAAATGTCACAACCAATGGAGTTCCCCACCAGGATGCCAGGTGGGTCCATGTTCTAGGTGCTTCTTGGTTGTCTCAAATCCTCCTAACAGTCCTGGAAGATAAGTATAAGTATTCCCTTTTCCATGAGACTATCATGAAATCAGGAGGCCAAGAAACTTCCCAGGGTAAGCTGGTCAGACCATGTTATGGCCCTGTTTGAAACCCTCTACCGGCTTCTCTAATTAGACTACAAGGCTCTCTAGGACCTGGCTCCCTGCTATCCCTCAGAACTCATCTTTCAGGATTGCCTCCTCCACCCTCCTCCCTCAGCCACATTGTCCTGCTTGAACTCACCAAGTGTGGTCTGCCCTCAGGGAGAGACATGATCGAGACGTTAGGGTCTACTGAGGCGACTCTGCTGTTGCCCCGGCCACTTGGGTCTGTAGCCTCCCTCCTGAAGTGACTCTGCCATCCTTCCTCTGCCACCATTTCCCATGGTCATGAGTTAGGCTTGTCACTAGTACTGTGCCCCTCCCATAATCTCAATTCCAAGCAACCCACCCACCCTCATCTCCAGCTCATCTCCCGTAGACTGTTCTTGAACCTCACCACATTTACATCCCATTGCTCCTGCCACCTTTCACAGTCCCTGGCCCACTGTGGCCCCTGCTTACTTCTTGCCCATCCATCATTATAATTACACCCTCAATAACATGCTCGCCTCACTTGCCCTTCTCTCCATCATACTCCCCTGACTTGGGTAAAATTCCACTCAGCCTGCCCCATGCCTGCACCCACAGAACTGAAGAAGACTGGGGAAAAGCACACACCACTGTGTTGATAGTGTCACTCTAAATCCATGGCCACTCACCTCTGTGGCACCTTGGCAGTGATGCCTGCCCACCTGGTTTTACCCCTCCAGCCTATTCACCCTCTCACATCCTGAGTGACCATTTCATATCTTCTCTTTCCTCAAACCCCAAAGCTCCTTCCTCATCTAATTTCACTGAGAAAATAGAAGTCATAAGAAGAGTCTGACAGGCACCCATAGTCATACTTATGAACCTTCCTGGGCCTGAACCATTCATTGCGTTCTCTCTGATGTTCCTGTGAGTGAATTCTCCACACTCCTGGGTAGGGCTGGCCTCTCCGTGTGTGCCTGTCCCCTCTTGCATGCTTAAGGACATGGCTGCAGTCATCATCGTCACTCTCTCCTGCACCACACATTTCCTCTTCTCGGTCAGGTTGTTCTTATCAGTGCATACACATGCTTCTGTAGAATCCCATCTTGACCCCAAGCCTCTCCAGCTACTGTCTTTCTTCTCCTTTTTATAGAGAAACCCCATACAAGAGATGTGTATGGTGGGGAGACAACCCCCCAAAACCCGGACTTTATTTCTAAAAAATTGTGTATGTATCTTACATGTTTAAACTTCAGTCACCTTCAAAGTACTCTCTGATGCAATACACCTATCAAGACGCTTTTTCCACTGCTCAAAATAGTTTAAACTTGTAAATTTTGATGCCTGTTAGTGCTTCTGCTGTTTTTTTTCTTTCACCTGTTCCACATTGGCAAAACATTTCCCTTTGAGGACTTTGTTCATCCAGGGAAACAAGAAAAAGTCACCCGGGGTGAGATCGGTGAATAAGGAGGGTGGAGCATGGGGGTCATGTTGTTTTTTGGTTAAAAAGTGCTGAACACTCAGTGTGGTGTGGGCAGGTTGTTCATGTAGATCACTCATCATGAAATGGGCAAACGTGTTGAAAGAATCTCCAAAAAAATTTCACTGAAACAGAACACAGCCTCTCACAACACTAGCTGATACATGGATACCGATGGGTTCCTAGCGGGGGAAACCTGTACTACCTGTACCTGGTGGGGGAAGCCTGTACACCAGGGGCTCACCCTCCAAAAGATAATTCTGCTTGGTTTTGGATCCCCCCCGTATTTATCACAGTGTCCAAAACTCAATTTCTGATTTCCTCCTCCTCTTACAACTTTCCCCACAGCAGTCAGTGGCATCTCTATCCTTCTAATGGCTTGGACCAAACACTTTGGAGTCGTTCTTGGCTTTTTTTTACTCTTGTACGCCGACATCTAGTCCATCAGCAAATCTGCTGACTTTACCATCAGAGCACAAGCAGCATGGAGTCATTTCTTACCATTTCTGCTGCAGACACCCAGGTCTAGCCCACTCTTTCTTTCATGTAAACTGTGGATTCGTCAATAGCCTCCTAAGTGGTTTCTGCTTAATCTCCTGCCTCCTGCCATCTGCTTTCAATCTAGCCGCCAAGCGATCCTTTAAAATATATCAGCCCAAGATACTCCTCTTTTTGGATCCTCCAGGAACCGCCCCATTTCACAAAGCCCACAAGACCTTTCCTTATCAGGCTCTGAACTCATCTCCTGCTACTTTGCCCTGATCGCGCGACTCTAGATGCACTGGCCTCTTGCAACTGCCACAGGGCCTTTGCAGATGCTGCTCCTTGCCTGGAATACTTTTCCTCAAGTGCCTGCATGGCCTGCTCCCTTGCTCCCCACGTGTCTCTGCTCTGATGTTCCCTAATCAATGAAGCCTTTCCTGACCACCTTTGGTGCGGTAGCCCCCTCCTGACCCTCTGTCTCCATACCCTGCTATGCATATTTTTTCCCCAAGGCATTCTTACACTTGCTGTCTTTTCCCCTATGGAATGCAAGCTTCGTGAGGACTGAGACTTCGATGTGCTCACGCCCATCCTGTAGTGGCTGGACTAGTGGACTGGTGGTTCGTTCCCTTTATTTCCCAGATGGGGAAGCTGGAAGGCAGGAGCGAGCACATGGATGATGCTCCACCAATAGGCCACTACGTATACTAGTGCCCTTGGGTCTTGACTACTCTCTCCCTGTTCTGTCTCCATGGTAGTGCGTATCAGCAATTGCCCTGTTTCACGTTTACCCATTCACTTACGGTCTGCTTCCCCAACAGAACGTCAGCTCTCATTCCTTCTGCAGGAGGTACATGATAAATGTTTCCTGAGTGAATGATGTTTGAGGGGGCTGGATGGGACTGAGGACTGGTTGACCCCCGAGGGCGTCCTTGTCCCCTACTGCAGTGCTTTTCAAATGCTGGTGTGCATCACACTGGGGGTTGTTAAGTGTACCAAGTCTTGCTGATTTGAACCGTTGACAGACATAAAGAGTTGTCCAACAGAGAAGGACCCACATTATAGAATGTTCCACATCACTGGCTGGTGGGAAAACCATGGTTCTGCCCAGATGAAATGTGGATGGTTGCTTTTGAGCCCCGTCTCTCCTTCTAATTGTCTCTTTCTAATGGACCTAATCCACCTTTTCTCTGACACATACGCCGTTTTTTTCCCTGGTCCCCTTCCCTAAGGCCTGCTTTTTCCTCTCTTTGGTTCAAGGCCGTGCTCATCCTTTTTATTTCCCAAATTGATCTTCTTACCTAAATTCATGGCAGGCAGCGGGTTTTGTCTTGTGTGCCCAGCAGTTAGAGTCTCTGTAAAATTCTGAACATAAAGGCTACGGGAGAAGCGAGGCCTGCCTAGTGCTGGGGGTCTGGAATCTGTCAAGAGCAGGGGCTACCCTGACACAGGCTGAGCTGTCTGTCAGGCATCTCCTCAGCCTCCAGCCATTTGACGATCTGATGGCCTGGCCAGGGGGGCCAGGCAGCACCTGCTGTGGCTGTTTTTCAAATGAAGAAGCCAGGCTCTTGGGGGGAAAACAGGACCAGCCCACTCTTGTTTTCCATTGCCAGAGCCTGTCTCAGCTGGGCCTTGGGCAAATCAACCCTGTCTCCTGGTTTCCCCACCTGAGAGATGAAGGAAATGAATGTTGGCTTTTTGTTTATGTTTTTTCTTTTGCTTATTTTTAAAGCTTCCTATTCTGTGGCCCCAAATCTAGGGCCAAACCGAACATTCCCCAGCTGGCCTTGGATGAGTCAGTTACCTAGTTACTTGAATTTACTCCGTATCTATGGAATGGGCTGACTACTCCAGCCTTAGCTTAGCCGCAGGACTATTGTAAGAATAAGAGTAATAATTGTGAAGGTGATGTCAGGTGTAATAAAGTTTATGTAAACATGAATTCTTTTTTTTTTTTTTTTGACTTTTATTATAAAGATGTGGGGTACATTTCAGGGTTAGGTATATAAACATTGATCATGCAGGTACCCTTGTTGATAAGGTATGCCCTTCCCATCCCTAGCAATTTCCCTCAACTGTCAATCCCACCCCACCTCCCCTGACAGTTTCCCACTACTGTCAATCGCTTTCTTATAGCATTATAATTATGGTCATTCTTATTCAGCCTTCCTCACAAGGGCATTGCAAGGACCAAAATCTGACTTAAGAATTCATGTTCACTCAGAAATGGACCTTGAACATGAATTCTTAAGTCAGATTTTGGTCCCCACAATGTCCTTGTGAAGAAGGCAGAATAAAAGAATGACCATAATGAATGCCAGTAGTCTTTTCTTTGTACGCTAAGCCAGAAGGAGGTTTTGATTTAAAATGGTAAACAGTGATTCATGTTTCTCCCTTCAGGGCTTAAAGAAGACGTTTGTGACCATGGATCAGGAGCGCCCACGCTCTTATTACAGCATAAACAGCAGGAACGACCTTCGCAAGCTTTTGCATCTCGAATTTCTCTATAAGGAGAACAAGGTGTGTGCTTTCTAGGGTGGGGCATGGAGACCTGACACTGAGATTGGGCTGCCGAAGTGCTCAAGGGTCTGGCAGTGGCAGGGAGCCTTGGGGGACCTCCTGGCCTGCCACACCTACAGTCAGAGAAGCAGCTCTGGCCAAGTGTGAACGGATCTCAAGCCTGAGTGGGTTTTTCACCTCTGTCAGTGGTGCTGCCCATGGCAGGTTGTGTGTGTGGTTGTCAGAGCCTGGGACTGTGCTCAGCCCCTACAGTTACCCCCTGTGCTCCCTCCTCCTCACACATGGCTATTTTTAGTAAGACTGTACTTAAGAATATAGTATTCAGTCATGCTAAAATTTTCCACTCCCTGTCTGTGTTAGATTTTCCTTCTTGAGTTCTGAGGAATATGTTTGTTAGTCTTTAGTCGCCTGTGACATATAATTCAGGCAGGAATAGGAACTGGGTTTCGTTACTCAAGGTGGGTTGGCGTCGGGAAAGCAAATGGAGCGACTTTTCCTCGAGTGGGATGGGGCCTTTCCTGACCCCCCTCCCCGACTGGATCTCCCTCACCTGCTGGTACAGGCTTTCTTGTATGTTTATAACATTGGTACTAGAATATTTGTGTGGTTATTTAATTAGTATCTCTCTCCCCCACTACCTACCCCCAGCAGAAAGCCAGAAATGGAATCTTCTTTGTTCACTATTATATCCCCATATTTAACATGTTGTCTGATGACATAGTGAACAGTCAATATTTATTTGTAGAATAAATGAATGAATGTCAGAAAGAATGAATGAAGCTACAATTCTGACTTCATTGCTCTTTCTGTTATGAAGACAGAAGCCTCTAATTTGATTAAAGAATGGACTGTCCATCGAGAGTTGCCTTGTGGTGGGGGCACAGTGTTAGAGTCAGAAAGAAAATGATGATGGGTCGTGTAGTTCAACATTTTTCAGTTTTACAAAAAAAGCAATACGATGATATCTCCTGTAGAAGTACAACTTGTACAACATAGAAGGGAAGCTGCCCTGTCTGAAGTGGGGTAGAGGAGGTCCTGCCTCCTGCCCACCCTTCAGGGCCCAGGTAAGTAGCTTTTCAACTGCTGGTCCGATTCTTGTCCCCTCCTCCTCAGAGGGAGCTGTGAGCTAGAGAAAACTGGCTGTCTGAGGTCTCACAGTCAGTTACAGCCAGAACCAGGTGTTTTGATTCCCAACCCTATCATAGGAAATAGTGGTCAAGCAAATTTAAATTGTAACCCTTTTATCAAATGAGATCTTAGCAGCTTGGGTTGATATGGAGGTAGGACCAAGGCTATTTCTGAGACACTCCGAGCAACCTCTGACCTGCTTGAAAACCACACAAATATATATCATAGGTCAGGGAGGAACTTAGGCCAGCCTTCCCCAGATGAAGTGAAGGGTGGAATTCCAGACTTAAACCACCTGGCACCCACGGGAGTGCTCAGGCTGCCAGACGTTCCTGTGCTCCCTTTTGAGACAAACAGACAGTGGCAGCCAGGGGAAGTCCTTGGCGTCCTGGGGTGACACTCAGGCTCTTCTGTCTCCTGAGTGCACTCAGCTGAAGTCCTGTAGAAAGACGCTGTTGACCCAGGCAGTGTATACTCTGTGATCCTCCATCTGCTGTATTCTGGGGCAGGAGAGTAACTGTGCATCTTAGGAAGATTTTTCACAGAGAACGAGACAGCCACCCAGAAAATTCAGTGAGCCATTCTGGTTACATTGGGATTTTTACGTAAATGCACCTTACCTCATTTCTCAGAAGTATCTTTGCCATTCAAGTTCATTTTGCTCCCTCGCCATAATATAGGCTCTCTAAGGTAACTCCCTAAGACACTTAAGACATTTTCATTAGCTCTTGATAAGCACACTGATTATTTGATTTAGGTGGTAGTCGTTAGCTGTGATACAATGAATGGAAGCCTATATTTCATAGAAAAATGTACTCATTTGTCTACTTATTGCATAATAATTTTGACATTCACTTAGCACAGAGCTAGCATGAGCCTAGGAAAGCCTTGCAATTTAATATAATATTTCCAGTAACTTATTTTTCTCTATTAGATATACAGTGAATAAAAATGCCTATGTAAAATCAAGATTTTGAAAAACAGATAAAGGCTGTGTCTATTGTGAGCCAAGTGATGTGAAAAGCATAAGGTATAAATCAGGCAATTTATGGCCCTGAATCTCTCTTACTGAGACAAAAAGCAAGAAGGCTGAAATAAGTTACATAAAATCCTTCCCTCAACTCTCTTCATTGTAAACTTCGTTTAATTTTAGATAAAATGGTTTTAGTTTTTATCTCATACTAAAAAAATAATGACAAAACTGTCCCCGATTTTGACTGTGATAAATCTGTTGAATTTGGCCATCGCCCATGGGCCGTGGGTCTTAGTCTTGGAGGTCTACCGTATAGATGAGTGGAGTAGAAAGGGAGAGGACTTGGCATGCCCAAGGGTCCCCTCTGTCAGGCTCCTTGTCAAATGTATTGCTACTCTGATTGCAGTCACTGAATGCCCACGTCTAGCCACAGCTCTGCAGGACCTGGGTGTTTCTGGGTGAGTGGGTTGAGGCCCAACACATGGCTGGGTCCCTGAGGCCAGCCTGTGGATTATTGCTTGGATAGCTTGTCTGTTCAGATTATTTAGGAGAAATTTAAAAGAAACCAGGTCTTTTTGCTATTTGCTATTCTGGCTTAGTAAGTCTCAGTTGGGTATTTTTTAAAAACTCCAAAAGGAATATTTGGTATAGGCAGGGCTGGAAAATACATTATTTATTTCTATAGCCTACTCCTAAAGAATTTAATTTGCCTGTTTTTTAAAAATCAGGGTGTAAACTGAGTGAGGCCTGACCGCCTCCCGTCTCTTCGCATTAAGCCTTCTGCTTCTGTTGCCTCTCATCGCTGGCATCAGCGTTAGATGCAGAGCTCACAAATTAAGAAAATATTCAGCCTCCAAATGCTCATGAATCTGTAAAGTTAGTACTCCCTACAGACTTAGGGTTTTTTTTTTTTAATGAAAGGATATATATTTTATAAAGTTATTCCTAGGAGCAAAAAGTCAAGAGGAAATTTGCTTGGGTAATCCTCTGTTAATATCACATTTTATTATAATTGTTCATTGAATTGCCTGATGACTCATGCATTGGTTGCTAGTTTTTTTAGGGAGAGATTGTGTCTTTATCTTTGTATCCCTATCCAATACAGTACCTGACATATATAATAGGCAGCTAGTGAATGTTTGTTGTAAGCATGTATGAATGAGAGAGTTGATAAACTTATGATGAAGAGTTGGAATAGTTGTCTTTTTCACCATTTCCCTGAAGCTGTACATACAAGTAATGATTATTTTCCCTCTTCCAATGATAGACAAAGGAAAAGCCTCTGAGAACAAACCTTGAACTCATTACCAGTTACTTTCTGGATTACTTCAAAAATACAGCTAAATATTTCCCTCAAGGAATCGCAATCCCTGCACTCTCAGTTACAAAGAGACGTGGCCTTTCAGATGAAGATGCAGAATGGAGAGCATCATTGTCAGAAAAAAACAATGCCAGGTATCTCTTCCCACTTTTTGAGTTTTCTATTGTTGCCATAAGAAATACTAGAAACTTAGTGGCTTATCAGTCAGTGTTCTCCAGAGAAACAGGACCATTAGGAGTGTGTGTGTGTGTGTGTGTGTGTGTGTGTGTGTGTATTTGTGTGTGTAAGGGCTGGCAAGCCTAAAATCTGTAGGGCAGGCTGGAGTCTGGAAACCAGGTAGGATTTTGATGTTACAATTTTGAAGAAGAATTCCTTCTTCTTTGGGAAACCTCAGATTTTGTTCTAAAGGCCTTCAACTGATGGGATGAGACCAACCCACATTATTGAGAATAATCTGCCTTACTCAAAGTCAACTGACTGTAAATGTTAATTTCATTTATAACATATCTTCACTGCAACATTTAGACTGATAATATGACTAAACAACTGGGTACCACAGCCTAGCCAGGTTGACTTATAAAACCTAATCATCACAGTGGCCTAAAGCAATATGAATTTATTCTCTTATGGCTCTGTATACCAGAAATCTAAAATCGGTCAGACATGGCAAGATGTCAGCAAGGTTGGCCCCTTCTGGTGGTTCTGAGAAGAAAATCCATTTATTTTTCTTTTTTTAGCTTCTAGAGGCCACCTACATTCCTTGGGTTGTGGTCCCTTCTTCCATCTTAAAGTATATCATGGCCAGGCATGGTGGCTCAAGCCTGTAATTCCAGCACTTTGGGAGGCTGAGGCAAGAGGATTGCCTGAGCTCAGGGGTTTGAGACCAGCCTGGGCAACTTGGTGAGACCTCGTCTCTATAATAAACAAACAAATAAATAAAAAACCAGGCATGGTAGCGTAGTGAGGCCTGACCGCCTCCCGTAGACTACCATGCCTGTAGTTCCAGCTACTTGGAAGGCTGAGGTGGAAGGATCGTCTGAGCCCGGCAGGTCGAGGCTGTGGTGGCTGTGAACGTACCACTGCACTCCAGTCTGGGCGACAGAGTAAGACTCTGACTTAAAAAAAAGAAAAGAAAAAAAAGCACATCACTACTGCCTATGCTTGCATCATTACATCTCCTGACTTTGGTCCTCATGTCTCCTTAAGGACCCTTGTGATTACATTGCCCTACCAGATGCTCCAGGACAATCTCCCAATTTCAAGATTCTTCATCACATCTGCAGACTCCCTTTTATCTTGCGAGGTGCCCTATCCATAGATTCCAGGGAAGCTGTGGACATCTTCCGGGGGCCCTCATTCAGCTGCCCACACTCTGTTTTCAGAAGCTCTGTCATGGAGTACTGTTATGTTCCTGTAGAGACCATGAGAACAGACACTTTGTGATGGAGAATACTTAGGATTCAGAATGTTTAATTTAAATTCCGTTATTTGTAAGGTTTGGAGACTTGCTTTGTTTTGTTTCTTAAAAGCAGGTATAGTATTCTAAAAGGCAACAACACACTGTAGAGATGGGAAACATCTGAAAAATAAGGTCTTTTGGAAATCTCAGGAAGAAAATGAGTTGACATTCTTGATTGAACCTCCATTGTCTGGAGAATAGTTACGTTAAATTACAAGCTTCAAACTCTGCATGCAATCACCAGTAGTGTTTTCTCCTGGCTCTCTTGGGAACCGCCTCCTTTCCTGATGGTAACCAGAGCTCAGGCATGGGTGTCCAGCTGCCAAAAGGTGGGACCATGACAAACACCTAGCTCAAGGCTTAGGATGCACAGCGCCATGAGGGGGGTAAGAAGAAGCTCTTCCTCTAAAGGCATTCACTGCCTGGCTGGACAATGAAATATTTCTGATACAATAAAAATAAAATGCAGTGAGGAAACAGTTGAAGCTCCCAAGTCTCACCAAGTGACCCAAGTTAAACACTTGGGTGTTCTTGCCTCACCTTCGCCTGTTGTTTTCTGCGTCCTGAGTCCTGCGAACTCCTTATACCCAGTGATGCTAGACTTTCCCTCTTCCCTGCCCTGCTGGCAATGGCCTGAGTTCACAGCCCCATCCTCTTTTGCTGGGTCACTCCCATGGCTGTTCCCTGGTCTCCAGGCCTTTAGTGACCTTCTCCTGGAATCCACTGTCGACCTAAGCTATTGTGAGCTTTCCACAAGATAAGTCTGGCCACGCCACTCCCCTGCCAAAGGTCTTCAGACGCTCCTGCAGTTTTCAGGATAAGATCTAAACTCCTTAGGATAACTTGCAGAGCTGCGTCCATGACCAGCCCCTGCTGCTCCCCTGAGCATGTCCTGCTTACAGGTCTGCATGCAGGAGACTGACCCTCTGCCTGCCTATCAGTTCTCTCAGACTCAGGTGCTGCCTTCACTGGGGGCCCTTCTAGACGTCCCCAGGCTGCTTCCAGCCCCTTCCTCTGCTTGACATGTCCCACTCCCAGCACAACTGCCCCTCCCATGTGTGACCCAGTGCTGGACAGGAAACCGGGCATAGAGTAGGGGTCAGTACCCATTTATACCAGAGCCTGTGTCAGAGGAGTGTTGACTTTCATGTGACTGGAGGGGGAGTTCTTGTACACTGGGTCTCCTGCTTTGTCTCATAGGCACGCTCTCACTCTTGCTCCTTTTCACTCCTTGCTCACTCTCACTCTCACTGTCTCTCACCTTCTTTTGCTCTCTTCCTCTCTCTCTGTCTCTGTCTCACACTCAACCTCCCCCTCCCCAAGAAAAAAGCCATAGCACACCTGACCCCACTTCCCCTGACCAGCAGGAATGGCACGTTTGCCGTGGTGTGCATGAGGCTGGGCCCTGTGTACCCATGCCTGTACTAAAGGGTTATGGTTTTCCTTAATCACTAGGGTCAAGAAGAACAAAGATGCTCTTAAGTCTTAAGGACTTAGGGAACCGATTACCAATCATCATCTCTAATTGTTGGCTTGTTTACTGTCTTATTTTGTAGGCCAGACTTGTTCTGGTGTATTTTCTCTTCCTTACCTTCCATGGTATAGCGCTGGCTGGTTAGAAGTCATCACGCCTTTACTAATGGGCTTGTTATGAGTGCCCATTGAGTGTGGAATTTATTGTTACCGATTCCTTACGGGGAGTCTGTTTTAATGGAAACACTTCTTTTCCTCAGACCTGGCAATCTCGATGGGGATGTACTTGGCAATTTCGTGTCATCCAGAAGGCCCCCACACAAAAGTATTCCCAATCAAATGGTCCCGGATGAAGTCCCCAGCTTGGCCTCCTTGTGGGAGATGATGGAAGAACCCCACGCGTCATCATCCAAGCCATCCATGGATGTGAAGATAGGAGAGAAGACCAGGCAGCAGTCTGGCCTGATCGCACAAGGCATGATGACTGGGCCCATCGCCACTTCCCCGCAGGTGGGGCTGCTGTTCTTTCTGTCTTTTTGAGACTGGAGGGTAAGGACTGGACAAGGCTTCTGGCACTCCTGGGTCTTTTGGGGGATACCCCATGGGACAGCCCAAGAAGGGGCCATGTGTGTGGGGATGGGATGAACACCTGCCTCTGTTTTCACCCTGGCTCTACTATCATTGACCAACGGGGCCTTGAGTAAGTCTGTCTCCTTCCCTGCCCTCAGTTTACCCATCTTATCCATGAGGTGGAGACCATGATTTTTTATTGTTTTGCTGAGTGAGAACACACCTACCCAGCATTGTCTTTGAAGTTCAGGAGTAGGGGAGCAATCCAGGTTTGGAGAACATCTTTTAAAAAAGACTTTAAAAACATAATAGTCAAAAGGGAATAAAGCCCCAAATTCTTAGAGTTTCATTTGTTCTGCTTTTATTGTTTCTCTTGAAGAAAAATAATTCTAAAATTGTATTGTTTTATAGTCTCTCTTAAGGAGGTACCATGGCAGGGTTCTGTTAGGTGGGGAGACTAAACCAAATGAGAAAAAGATGTAAAAGCAGCTTGTAGGACAAACAAACAGAAAAGCCAAGCAAAAGCAAGCACTCAGCTCAAAGAGTACTATCAGTCAAATCAGGGAGCCTGAGCCAACCCAAAATAGATTGTCTGTCCATGGCCAGCCCTGCATTCTCACCTGCCATGTGTTTAGATGAGTGTAGATGTTGGCACTATTCTCGAATTCATTCGGAATCGGGACAGAAGAAAGAGGATCCTCTCCCTGCCCCCAACCTTGCCTCTGCCTCCTTCTTGTGGAACTTTGGCTGAAGTTTTTATATTTCTCTTGGCTGTGGTGTCTTGTTAGACTAGCTGTCTAAGGCCCCTTAGAGCCGCTGGGATTTCGATGCTCTTGTGATCCTGTAGTCTGTGTCCTGATCAAGGAAGGGAGTCTGTTCATCTCTGTATGGTTCAGGCTACTCCTTGATGTCATGCCCCATCCTAGGTGACTTCTTGTTGAAGAAGTACTTTCATAAACTGGACATTATACAGAGGAGAGGGGCTAGGAAGGTGAAGAGTTTGGAGGAAATTAAAAGATTTGGAGATGTTTAATCTTGTGGGAGACTAGCAGATGTAAGAGACTTCTTCAAATAAGGCGGAAGGAATAACTCACCTTCATGTGAGGCGAACTCTATTAGCTTCCTAAGTTTGGTCTGTGAGTCTCCTGAGAACAGGGCTCCATCATGTTTGCATGTAGCACATGATGTGTGCTTGCTGGCCCTTTGCTGGGTTGAGTGGTGTAGACTTGCCTGGTGGCTCCGGAGAGCACAAGTGGCACTAGTGCATAGCGGTTGGCATAGGAGCCTCAGTCAGTCACAGCTGCCCCAGCAGTGGAACTGGTTGTTTTGGAAGGGACTCAGCTAGTTGTGTTTGGGAGTAGCTAGGTACCCTGTCTGCTGGGGACACTATAGCAAGGGTCCTGTCTGGTGAGAGTTTAGATGGCATCAGCAGTTTTCAGACTTTCAGTTTCAGAATCTCTTTAAACTCTTGAAATTATTGAGGAGTCCAAAGAACTTTTGTTTATGTGACTGTTTCTATTATTTACTGTATTAGAAGTTAAAATTCAGAAATTTTTAAAAAATTACTTACTAAATCATTGAAAAATAATAGTAGTAAACCCATTACATGTAATACAAATATAGATATTTCTTCTTTCTTTTTTTTTTTTTTTTTTTGAGTTGGAGTCTCACTCTGTCGCCTAGACTGGAGTGCAGTGGCTGCTCCTGGCCACCGCAGCCTCGACCTGCTGGACTCCGGCGATCCTTCCGTCTCAGCCTTCTGAGTAGCCGGAATTACAGGCACGCGTTACCATGCCCGGCTGATTTTTTGATTTATTGTAGAGATGAGGTCTCGCTGCCCAGGTGGGTCTCGAACCTGCGGGCTCAGGCAATCCACTCACCTTAGCCTCCCAAAGGCGCGGGATTACAGGCTGAGCCACCGAGCCCCGCTCTTTTTTCTTTTTTTATGACTTAATATATTTTTAAATTTTGGGTCAGACATAGTGACTTATGCTTGTAATCCCAATGCTTTGGGAAACTGAGGAAGGAGTATTGCTTGAGGCCAGGAGTTTGAGCAGCCTGAACAACTTAGTGAGAATCCGTTTCTACCAAAAAAAAATGATCTGGGTTTAGTGGTGTGGGCCTGTATCCTAGCTCCTTGGGAGACTGAGACAAGAGAATTGCTTGAGCCCAGGAGTCTGAGGCTGCAGTGAACTATGATCATGCTACCATACCCCAGCATAGGTAGCAGAGTGAGACCCTGTCTCTAAAAAGGAAACCAAAACTCCCCATCAAAACATTGAAATAAATGTGAGCTATACATAAATTTAGGAAATATTTCTAAAAATATGTATATATATATATATATTTATTTTTAAATAAGATAAAATTATTTTTATTTATTTATTTTTATTTTGATCTTGAGTTGCTGGGCTCCTGCCTCAGCCTCTCAAGTAGCTGGGACTGCAGGTACATGCCATATACCCAGCCTAAATAGTAACATTTTTTTAAATGAAAAAAATAAGTATATTTTCCAAAACAAAAAAATTAGTGAAATGAGTAGCATTGTTTTGCATTTTATGCCAATCTCTTGAATGTCTGGCTTAGTAGAAGACAGTTCAAGCTTCATATTTGCTTCTGCTTTAGCCTGTTGCAATATGGTGTTTTGATTGAAGTGTAAGAAGAAAATCTGGCCTCACACAGATAAGCAGTTGGAAAAGGGAAAAGTATTTTAATAGCCCTTTTAGAAGACTAGGTATTTTTCTTTGACACTACACTGAAACTAAACAAGCTGTAGTTTCTTAATGTGGCATCTTAAAACATCTCAGTAAACTTTTTCTACTTTATCAGTTTCCATTGGGCTGTCTTGCACTTTGAATTTTTTACCCCTGCATGATTTAGTAATGTGATGCATTGATCATTTGGAAGATATTAGTTATTGAGTTATACAGATCTTCTAAAAGTGGACACCTTTCAACATACAAAAAAAAAAAAATTACATTTGTTGATGTCATTAACCAACTCATCAGAAAAGTCTTTTAAGTATTGCAAAGCCCTCGGGCTCACAGTGGCAGATATGCATTTTCCAAAATTCTGATTTTTACCTGATAGCCTGCATTCTGTCACTGGCAATACACCATTTGTTTCCTTCGAAGTGAGAGGCTCAATTGATTTTCAAGGAAATGCCTGCCAAATACCCAAGCCTGAATAACCACAGTTTGTCTGTCAGTAATTCCATGTAAACACTGCCAAGTTCCTCCCAACTTAGTCACATAGTGCGCACTGCTGTCCTCCGCACTCAGTGTCTTTCCCGTTTGCCCACGGGATGTGTGCAGGGTCTAGAGTGAAAAAGTCTAATAATAATTTTTATGCTTCAGTGGGGACAGTCCTCACTGAAATTCACACCTTATTCATTTGTTTCTATTGCGAGTGCAAGGTGATAAGGAATGCCGCAAGTAACAGTGGAATTTGGTGCCTACCTTGACTATGCCCAGGGCAGCAGTTTTTTTCATTATTGCTTAGTACACAAAGTTAACACAGCTATTTAGTAGGAAAATAGTTGAGTCCCGGAAGCTTCTGGAGACTTCTTGGGGCCGGTGGCTTGCCCTCTGAGAGCCAGTGGACCAGACAGACACCAGGGACCAGCAAATGTGTGCAGTGGGGACCCCTTCATGCCTGCATGTGAGGGAGATGACTTGGACCTGCTTCACTGCTAAGGGCATTTTGCAGACTTTTCCTTTTGGTCATTTTTTTGGGAAGTGAGGTTTTCCCTGGGGCATATGAATCCTATGAAGGACATTGAAGGACAGGTTGCTATAGAATTTTCTGGAAAGCATTTTGTGGGCCTTTGAGTACTTTGGCTATACTTATTGGTTACTCAAGAGAAAAGAGCCAAGGATTACCAGGTATTCCACCGTTTTTCTATGAGGTCAGCTCTGTCCTTAAGAATGACTGTAATCATATAATGAAACTTGAACATCCAACCTAATACTATAAGAAAATGACTGACAGTAGTGGGAAACTATGGCGGGGGGAGGGAAATGGGATTAACGGTAGCAAATATCTGTCTGGGGATGGGGAAGCACCTCTTATCAATAGGGTGCCTGAATGAAACGTATTTGTATACCTAACCCTTAACTGTACCCCACAACATCATAATAAAATATATATATATAAAAAAAGAATGACTTGTAAGAGCCTGGGCTCCACCAGCAGTTCCGGCTCCCCTAGGCCAGGAGTTTGTAGTTTAAGTCTCCTTGGGAATGGTGACTAATGTCTTCCTCTCTCTGCGCCCAGGATGCCTGGTGGCTTTTGGAGGAGGCTTATAGTGCCTAGTAATTTCCACCAGGACAGAACATTACAAAATTAGCTTTCCTTATTCTAGCCCAGGCTTTGCCATTTGGTCCTAGATAATTTTTGGAAATGTTGAGAGGTCCAGAATTTTAAACCAGGGAAAATTCCAGGGGGTCTATATTTGTCCCCCTACCTCCTCCCACATTAGTAACAGCATGAGTCCCATTTCATCAGCTAATCTTTGCTAGTAAGAGAGGATATTTGGATATTTCAGTTCACTCCTCTGGAATTCCTTCATTTCAAAACCTAAGCAAATCTTGAGCGCTTTCTAGGTAGGGGCTGTTGAGTTGGGAGCTCCATAGACACCAGAGATATGTGAAAAGTGGCCTCTGCAGTGCCTGGCCTGCCATCAGGAGGGGCTAAGACCTTGTTTAAATGGAGCCGGGCAAATAAGCATAGCAGTGGTGAGCACTGGCTGACTGCTGCGACATGTCTGGCTCTGTGCTAGTGCCTTACATGTGTCTCATGTCGTCCTCACCATGGTCTTGTGGGAGGTGAGCACTACAGGCACCCCATCTCTCATTCAAAATCTTTGGACCAGATGTGTTTTGGAATTTTAAATGTATTCTTTTAATTTAGAAAGAAAGTGCAGCGTATTAACCACACTGCAAATAACACCTGTAGCAGGGCTTAGGGTAGCAAATACACGACCATTTCTGCAACAAAACGTGTGAATATTCATACTTTTAAAAGACTGTAAGTTAGAAGTTTTTGCCACAAGATCCCAAAGAAATTTCATTTTCAGAGGTTTTGGGATTTAGAAATGACAGGTAGTGATTGCGGACTGGTTATATTACAGGTAAGGAAGCGAGGGACAGAAGTTAAATAGTTTGCCACAGGTGGCCTGGCTGGTAGATGGTGATTCAGGAATTAGAAACTGGAGCGACAGCTTTACCGGCTGCGTGAACCCGCTCTCTGCGAGGGGTGTGAGAGAAAGACTGGGGCCTGTTCTGGGGCTCATGCATGTGGGGTGTGTATCAGTGACAGCGTCACAGAAGAGGGAGCATTTGAGTAGCACCTCCGAACAGGTGGGATTTTAAGAGGAGTCAGGGAAGGGAACAGATATTTCTGGGGGAGGGCACTTCATGGGCAAATGCTTGAAGTGGTATCAGGTGTTTTTCAGCTTTCCTAGAGGGGGTCCCTCAATGCTTTTGTTTTTGCCTTGTTTAGGATACTTTCCACAAACATTTTCTGAGTCAATCCCTGGCTTTGAGCAGCACCATCCAAATCCAAGAGGAGCAGAACCGGAAGGGTCCTGATCCCTGCCTTTGCACCCTAGACCATCCAATGTCACAGGAGGTCCTGGCTTCAAGCAATGGCTCCACCTCCAGAGGCCTCCTGGGTCAGTTTAGTGAACTGACCTTAGAAAAGCCGAAAACCACCTCCAGCAACCCCCCCTGCCTGCCCAGCAAAGGGCTACCCCAGCCGGAGAGGGCCAGGCCAAGAGAGCTTTCAGAGGACAGCCCAGCAGTGGACAGCAACCCAGATGCAGACAGGACGTCCTTGAAGGTCTACCAATTTGGTGCGAATTCCAGGATGACCCGGAAGAGACAGGAGAGAGCATTCAAGCGGCAGTACAGGTGAGTACAGCCTGCCAGGTGAGTGTGCCGTGCAGACATGATGACTTTTCAGAAAGAAGTGCCACCTCTCACATGTCCAGTCCCTAGTTGCTCCCAAGGGGCCTTCTTAGCCTCCTTGATCTCTCATAACGACCTGATGAGGTAGGAAAGGCAAGGTTGATCACAGCCAAGCAGGAAGAAAACTGAGCCAGAGTTCACACACCCAGGAAGCTGAGGGAGGTTTCTTCAGCCCCTCTCACTTCTTCCCAAAGCTGAAGAAGGCCTTAGCAGACAGTCCTAAAACAAACCTGCAGACAGGTCCAGTTGATGTGGGCAAGAAGTGTTTCCTGTGGGAGGCCATGGATATGATGATGTATCAGCTTCCACAAGGCTCCTTTTAAACATATTTTAGTTTTATTTTTTACCCCACCCATCCTGTCTTTTATTTCTTTCACAATAGGCCTACATGATGATACCTACATTGATTAATTTTTGAATGATAAACCAACCGTACATTCTCAGAGTAAAAACCCTACTTGGTGTACTATACTATCTTTTTATATATTGTTGGATTTGATTTATTATATTGTATGTAGGGTTTTTGTGTATATTTTTATGAAGGAGATTGGCATATTTCCTTCCTGTAATAGCACTGTCAGATTCTGGTACCTAGGATATATTAGAAGTTGTCCCTTTTTTTTGTCCTCTTGAAGAGTTAGTGTAAGATTGGTAACATTTATTCCTTAAATAGTTGGAAGAATTTACTGGAGAAACCATCCAAACATTGAGTTAAAGGTTTTAAATTATGTACTCAATTAAATTTTTTTAATGTAAAATTTCTAGTTTTTGAGTGTTAGTTTTGGCAATTTCTATTTTTTCAAGGAATTTGATCATTTTACCTATATTTTAAATTTACTGGCATAAAATTACATAACTACATTATCTGCTTATTATCACTTTAAAGTTTGTAAGATCTGCAGTGCCTTCTCTGTTTCATTCCTGATATTGGTAATTTGTGTTCTCTTTTTCTCTCTCTTGACTAGTCTTACTAAGAGTTTATCAGTTGTGTATTTTTAGAGTACCAACTTTTGAATTTATATGTTTATTTTCCCTTTTATTGATTTCTGCTCTTTTAAAAAATTATTTCCTTCATTCTACTTTCTCTGAGTTTAATTTGCTATTATTTTTCTAATTCATTGATCAGGCTCTTAACTGGTTCTCAACTTTCTTCTTTTGTAATATCTTTTCTCTAAATAGTGCTTTGTCTGTATTCTGTAAGTTAATTTGTTATATACTCATATAATTTAGTTCACATATTTTCTAATTCTCATTGTGGTTTCTTTTTTTGACCCATGGGTTATTTAAACGTATATTGACTAATTCACAACATGTGGGTATTTCTCTGGTTATCTTTTTGTTTTGATTTCTAACTGATATTATATTTTTACTTTATGATTACAGTCCTTCACTATTTGTTGTGATTTCCTTATGGTTCAATATGTATTTAAAGTTTATTTCTTATAAGCAGTTCATATTAGAATTTTTCATCTATTCTGATAATTTTTGTTTTAGATGGAATAATTATGGCATTTACATTTTCCCTTTACTTGAAGAACTCCCTTTAATATTTCTTTCTTCTTTTTTTTTTAGGGCAGAGACGATTTTATTCATTGTTATATCTCTGTCTTTAGTATTTCTTTAGCAGGAGTGTTAAAATTTTTTATTCTAGATTTTGTTTGAAAATGTCTTAGTTTTACCTTTATTTTTGTAGGTGTTTTTAATGGGTGTAGAATTCTAGATTAGTGGTTTATTTTTTTCAGTGCTAAATATGTCATTCCGTTGCCCTCGACTTTCACCATCTGTTGGTAAGTTAGGTGACATTTTATTGTTGCTCCTTTGAAGGCAATGTATTTTTTTTAACCTCTTTCTGCTTTTCTCTACCTGTTAACCCAGCCAACTTTATACAATTCTTTTTCCTTTGATTTCTAACGGTTTGCCTATGGTATACCTAAGTATGGTTTCTTTGATGTTCTGCTTGGGATATGTAGTTCTTTCTGAAGTTTTGAGTTGATATCTTTTATCAGTTTTGAAAATTATCTTTTTGACTATTGCTTTTGTCCCGTCTTCTCTTTTCTGTCTTTGAACTCCATTTACACATACCCTAGATCTTTTCACTTTGTCTGTGTTCTGTCATATAGCCTTTTCCTATATGCTTCTGTTTTTTCCCCCATCTTTCTTTCTCTCTGTACTTCCAGCTGGATATTTCCTCTTGATCTACCTTCTAGTTCATGTTTCTTCTATTATGTATAGTTGGCTATTATACTTAACTAACCGTAATTTCAGTTATCTTATTTTTCCATTTTTCTTTTTAAAAATAGATTTCAGCCTTTTTTTTTTTGAATTTTAAAAATATGTTCCTTTATTTTCTTAACATATTACTCATTGCCATTTTCAAGTCCCCATCTAGTAACTCTGATATCTGGGTCACCTCTGAGTCTGTTGCTATTGTCTGTTTTTCGAGTTTTGATCCCTCTGTTCTAGTTCTTGGCATTTCTGGTAATTTTGATTGAATCCCAGACATTGTGCATGAATAATTGCACAAGATCTGGCTAATGTTGCCTTCCTCCAAAGAGAATTTAATTTCCTTTTGGTAGATATTGATCTCTTGTTAGTTTAAGACTTTGTAAAATATCTCCTGTCATTTTATTATGTGTCTAATAGTTTGGTCCATTATGCTCTTTCTTGAGCAGAAATGCTCAATTTTGGCATAATCAGTCTCTTGTTTAATGTATAGTTTGCATTTTAAAAGTTTTCTTTATTAAGTTCCTTTTTGTTTTTAGGTTTCAAAAATATTCTCCTATGTTCTTTCTATTATAGTCTTAGCTTTCACATTTGGGTATTTAATCTTTTGTACTTGTTGAGATAAAAAGATCTACTTTTATTTTTCTCTGCATAGTAAGGCAGTTTTTCCAGCACCATCTACTCCATAATTTGTTGTTTCTCTATTGATTTATGAAGTCACCTTTATTCTCTACTAAGTTGTCACGTAGACATAAGTCGGTCTCTGAGATCTCTGTTGTGTTTCATTGTGTTTTTTTGTCTACTTATTTATTTAGTTTTTTTTTTCTAAATCCACATGAGCATATTTTGATTATTATAGCCTTGTATTTCTAGCTTAGCCTCTTGGTAGGGCTGGTCTTTCCCCTCTCTTTTAGGATTGGCACAGCTACATGCAGGCCTTTATTTTGTCTATAGGCTTGTTCTTCTGTTTATCTGACATGTCTATCTTGTGCCTGCATGAGGGAGAACTGGCTTGTCTCCTTGCTATGGAGGCCCTGCTCCCAGGTCATCCTGTGACTGTTTCTTTCTTATGAGTCAGTGTTCTGTCCTCTGAGTGGTTTCCTTTGACGAACTTCACCTCCAATCCCTCCTCTCCATCCTGTTTTATTATTTTCATGGTACCTCACCACTTGAAATGATTTTATTTATTTATTTATCTTTAATTTGTCTCCTCGACAATAGATTTTAAGTGTCACGAGAGCAGGGAACTTTATATTTCCTGCACCTAGAACAGTACCTGGTACACAGAAGACGTGCAATGACTATTAGCTTAATATTACTGCGACTTTTAGCAACAGCAGCAATAACATTAACAAGATCAATAAACTATTGCTGTTGGCCTATTTTTTTTTTAACAAAACACTGTTCTAATTATTTTGTGTCAATTTACTCTTTAAATTCTCATAAAAGTTCTATGAGGGAAATACTGCTGCAACCCCCATTACACAGATGAAGAAACTCAGTCAGAGAAGTTGCTTTATTTACTCAAGTTTATACATCTATTAAGAGGCAGAGTAGGGGTTTGAACCCAGGAAACTACCTCCAGAGTCTAGTGAACACTTGAATGAATACTGTCACTTCTCTCCTTGAGTAGCTGTTCTTTCCACAGCCTTTAGATAGTGATTGGTTCTGCTTGCTCACTGCTTCCTGCAGTACTTTAGCATGATTCTGGCTGTTAGAAAAGTCTTCTTTACACTGAGTTAAGACATGCTTGCCTGTATGTAGTTCTACTCAGAGGGCCTTGTTTTGACCTCCAAGCCCAGAATATGTTTGCATTAGAAAATGGAAAACCACCTCAAGTCAAATGGATGGGAGCATTCTTAGGCTGTAGTGATCTGGGAGAGTGACCTGGGTGAATGGAATGAATGGCTTCAGTGTCAGGAGGCCTGAGGTCTTTGGTCCCCACTTTGTCCTCACTCACTGGTGGACCCTGGGATGATCATTTTCTCTCTGGGCCTCAGCATCCCTGACTCTAAAATCTGGTTTCTGGGCAGATGATTTCCAAGCATCCTGCAAGCTTACGTGTCTTGCTGGCCTAAGCTTCTCATTTTCAGTTATTCTGTGCCCTCTGCTTCAGCCATCAGGCATTTACTGAGTACCTACTGTTTACAGAGCCTAAAGGAGGGATGGCACATGGACTCTGAACTGGCCAACTGACTCTACCCTTGTAAATTCTGTGACCTTGGGCCAGTGTTAAACCCTTGAGAAAGGGTATGAACTTTGCCTTCTAGGAAGAGGGTAGCAGGTAAAATGCTTCCTCAGCCGCCTCCCTACCAATACCAGGCGAGGTATAACCAGGGATGTTGAACACGTGTTCAGTAGTGTTGACCTTTATATTGGTCCATCAACAACATCTCTGTGGTCTGTCTTTTTTAACCTGCCACTTATTCCATATTTGCTGGGCATCATGCTAAGTGCTTGTGTATTATATTTTCTCATTTGCTCTTAATAATAATCTACTATGGTAGATATTATTGCTGGGTTTTTTTTTTGGTGGGGGCGAGTCCATTCAGTAGTATTCTTTTCCTCTGCCTAAGTTCTGAACAAACTGATAAAAGAGCAAAGGGTATCAGGAAAATGGGACTAGATATGACATCTTTGTGGTCTTGAAAGGTGAAGGTAGAGAAAAGAGCAAGTCACGAGGGCTGGTGGGCCCAGAACTCTCCAACTTTCCCCTTCAC